TACAGAGGCTGGAAAAAGCCTCTGTGGCTGCAAAGGCCCATGCGCACCCTCCGGCACCCCTTCTCGGGGCCTCTCCAGCAGAGAAGTGGGGGACACGGAGGTGGGGGGCCGGGGGCCGCGGGGCTCCGGGCACACACCTTGGCGCCCAGGGCCCAGGCGGCCAGCACGTGGCGGCAGTGGTTGAGGCGGGCGGGCTTCATCTTCGAGTCACAGGGCCCGCTGAACTGGGGGACGCTCTCGAGCTCGGCGGCGCACTGGAACACCTCCATGTGGTGGACCAGCGCCTCGTTGCCCTCGGTGACGATGGGCTCGTACTGCGGGGCGGAGGGTGCGCTGAGCCCGGGGCTGAGGACGCCCGCCCACCCCACGGGGAGCCCCTGGCCCTGCGGCTCCCCCTCACGGGCCTCTGCTTCACCATCTGTAAAATGGGGTGCTTCTGGGGCTCAGGGGTTCGAGGGTAAAGCCACCGACCCGGAAGCAGGCAGGGTCTGCAGAAGCCCCCGGGGAGGCCTGGCGTGAAGGAAATGAGGCCCCAGGCAAGTCATTTCCTGATAGGGTGGGGACAGGAAGGGAGCTGTCCTGCCATGGATATGATGGTGACCAGACAAGGACACAAGGCTGCCCGAGGCCGAGGCTGAGCCCGGGGACGGGGACCAGGCCCGCCCCTTCCCACTGGGAGTCGGGCACTCACGCAGCCTCTCTGGGCTGACTTTCTGGGGACCGGGACGATGCTGCCTGGTCGTAGTGTGGAAGGGCTGGGGGACCCCCTCCCCTCCCCCGTTCAGCAGCTATTGTCACTATGGTTTTTTCCTTCTGCGGGTGTTGATAGCAACAGGGTTCTGAGTTGAGCTGCTTTTCAATGAAGTGGGAGGTGGCCTGACAGACAGACGGATGGACGGACGCAGAAATCAAGACATCGGTCGCCCTGGGGCAGGCTGGGAAGCTGGGGTGCACAGGCCCTGGGAGGCGGGGAGCGAACAGGGCGACAGGGGCGCCTAGGGTTCAGGCGGCAACAGGTCACCCGGCTCGACCAGGGCCACGGGCAGCGCTTCAGGACCGAGACATCTCGCCAAGGCCCCAGGTGGCGGGCAGAGCTGGGACAGGCCCCGGGGGACAGGACCCCCGCGTACCATGACGATGTGGTGCCGAGAGAAGCCGCCCGGGAGCTCGGTGACGTAGCACCAGTAGGTGGTCTCCTGGCCGGGGACGAGGACGTCGGGGGCGCGGACCTCCATCGTGCGCGTGTCCGGGGGCAGGGCGGGGACGGAGATGTCCGGCTTCAGCAGCTGCACCCTCTGCAGCCCCGTCTGCAGGGCCGAGGTGTTGATGGCCTCCAGCGACGCGAACGGCTGCTCCAGGATGCCGTACACCAGGTGGACGGTGCCATCCTACGGCCAAGACGAGGCCGGCGCCAGGCCACTCAGACCCCCAGAGGTGGGCTCCCGGGTAACCCAGGGCATGCCAGGCCCCTGCTCACCCCCACCTGGCAGGTGACACATGCCCGGCACAGAGCTGCCCTGGCCAGTATGACCACCACTGGCCCCACTGGTATTGGACGGTGCGGACATAGAAAGTTCTAGTCAGCGCTGAGCTAGGGATCACAGACTGACTCGAGGGGACAGGAGGCTGGGGTCGGCTCTCCTGTGCTGCCAGGACTGCAAACCTGTGTCCACGTGTGGGATGTAGCTCGGAAATCGCCTGCCATGGACTTCTGGGCACCGATGGGCATGTGTGCATGAGTGTGAGTGTGTGTGTGTGTGTGTGTGTGGTGGTGGCTAATGGCTCACGTGGCCGCATAAACTTGGGTACTCCGTGGGCTGCTCTCTGCAGGGCGTCTCAGCTCTGGGCAGGCGGCTGCCCCACGCCCCGCCTGCAGGCTCTGAGCCGGGTGCACGCGGGCACTGGGCGGACCCCTGCAAAGTCCTCCCAGAGGGTCCTCGGGGCAGGTGGGCCCGGAGGGTGAGGACCCGGACAACCTGCTGTTGGGACCCCTCTCCCGACACCTGCTCACTCCGCTCTGTGCCATGAGTCCCCAGCACACCGCCAACCGTAAAGATTACACACGATGACAAATGTCAAGGTGCCCTCGAAGGTTAAAGGGTTTTGTCTCAAGGGCGAGGTGGGTCGATGCTCCCTAGCTGGGGGTCCTGGAGCAGCGTGAGAAGCCTACGGTTTTTTGGCTCCGCGGTGGCCGTGAACTCCTACGCAGAGCCGGCCGGGCCTTATGGTCATCTAGTTGCCCGCCACACTTTACAGACAGGGAAACTGAGGCCCAGAGGAGGGAGGGACCTGCCCTGAGCCTCACAGCAAGTTGGCAAGGGCGGGGTGGGAAACCGGGTCTCCTGGGAGGACATAGGAGTGAGATCACTCAGTTCCCAGTTAGAGAGGTTGGAGGCATGACTGTCACCCAGAAACACTCCGGTCGTGTGTCCACCAAGGGACGTCCTGGGGTGTCAGAGGCCGAGAGCTGAGCCGGGCTCCCAAACTGCCTGGTCCCCCACCCCTAGCTGCCTCTGGGGTCCTTTCTCGGCTTCCTCTCTGTACCAGCTGGCCCCGGGACGCTGCCCCCCCAGCGCGGTGTCCTGTCCCGCGGCCGGCGGCCACCCACCTCGATGAGGTAATCTCGGGGGTCGCAGGTGCTGAAGGGCCTCTTGAAGAGCAGGGACAGGCCTGCCGGGGTCCTCTGCGCCCGCAGCAGCTGGTAATCCTGCTGGGGGTCCAGGTGGAGCTGCCCCCTCTGGTCACTCCAGGCGTCCTGCAGAGACAGGTGCGGGCTCGGGGTGCGGGGAGCCCAGACGGAGGCCAGGGCGCAGGCTCGGCCCCCAGCACGGCTGCGCAGGACAACCCCGGCTCTGCACCTGGGGGTTTCGGGGCGGTTGGGGGCTCATCCCTACTCTCTGCGTCTGCCTGGAGACAGCTCCGACCCCTCCCTGTCGCTCCCTCCGTGACTGTGACCATGAGCAGGGCTCCCAGGGCTGGTTAGCCTCGGACCGGAGACCTCTGGGGGGACGCAGGGGTCCATCTCGTTAAGTAGGTGCCGGGATCGGGAACCGGGACCTTGGACAGACACTGTTCCCGTTTGTCTGCGGAGGGAGGGGCGGGGGGAGCACGGAGCCTTGGAGAGGGGGGCCTGAGAGACAGGGCTGGACGGGGGAGGCAAAGGAGAAAGCTGCCCGGGGTTCGAGGTGCTGCATTTGCACGGCCCAGGGAGAGCGGTGCCTCGCTCCCTCGTCCCAGCCTTGCTTGGAGAGGGTAAACTGAGGCCCAGGGAGGACACAGGACGTCAGTGGGCGGCAGTTCTGGCTGACCCCTCCCCCGCCCCCAGCGCTTGCTTTGCACCAGAGGCGTCCAGGCCATGGGGGGGGCAGAGGGGGCGGGAGGGGGGAGGGAGAGGTCGGCCAGGGGAGCAGCAACCGGGAGGGAGGAGCCGTCCCCACCCCCCACTCTGTTCCCACACAGGGGCCCCATGGGTCCTTGGCCTTAGGACTTTTTTTTTTTAACCCTTTTCTAAGGCTAAGGCACGTTTTCTTCATTTCCTTGCAAAATCTTCCCTGGAGCGAAGCGGCCCCGTGAAGCGCCCGCTGGGGCCACTGCGGGTTCGCAGGACTGATTTTAAACGGAGGCAGAAAGTTCGCGGTGCTGCTTGAGCTGGAAATCTAGAACGTGTTTGTTGAACACGTTGCTAAAAGAGGAACAACCAGTCTGACGTTTGTTTGCATAGAAATTCGTTGTGCAGATTCGTCTTGCAGCGTGCAGGGCGGTGAAGCCGCCTGGCTCTCTTGGCAGCCGGGAAAAGCTGCCCCAGAAGGACCTGGAATTCCCAGCTTAGGGACCCCACCCATCCTCCAAAGACTCCGGGCGGAGGCTGCTCCAGGTCACGACCCCCTCAGCCACTGTGTGTCCTTGTGTGTGGGAGGCAGGGCAGCCCAGGAGTCTGATCTGGGCCCCAACCAAGCAGCTGGGCCCTGTCCTCCCGGGTGGCCCCACGCACACGGCTGCAGCTCACCAGCCTCCGGCCTCACCTGCAAGATGGGCAAAGCACTCACCCGCAGAGCTGTCATGGGGTCAGATGGAATACGGTCGGATTCCAGAAATACGAGCCATTGTCCGCGCACATCAACTCACAAAAACCCAAAGACAGGGAGAGAGCATTCTCCCCGGAAAAGACGCCACGGCCGCGAGTCGGCCTGGCTGCCCGGGTCAGCCTCGCCTCTCCTGCCTGCGCTCCTGTGGGTCCCCCACTTAAGGCAGTAAAAGCCCCTCTGCTCACAAAGAAGGTGCCTCCTGTCTTTAAAAAAAGGCAACCCTCCTGCGCCTGTTTTGGTGGGGAGAGCTGGGGGGCTGGTGCCCGAAGAGACCCTAGCGGCCAGGCCCATCTAGGGGGAAAGCAGGGGCAGGGGGATGGCTCGGCAGATGCTGGCCACCCCTTGCCCCAGGACCCCCCCTTTGGCTTGTCAAGGGCCCTAAAGCCTCCCTACTTTGAAAGAAAACTCCCCGTTTCTCTACCCATCACGGCCAGAGTGGGGTGAATTTTAAAAGTAGGAAGTCAAGAGCTCAACTGTGCGGGTTCGTCCTCCACCTGGGGGAGGGGGGTGTCTGCACCCGTTCATTTTACCTGCCTGTGCAAGCACCACGCTTGCCAGTGCTGCGTCCAAGGCCCGGAGTGCACGCTGGGCGCCGTGCGGGTCACGTGGCCACTAGCCCGCGCGGCGGGAGCACTGGGTGCAGTTCGTGCGAGTGGACAACATGGAGCCCGCACCCCCGGGGCTGGGGACATGCCCGGGGCTGCCGCTTGGGGCGTGCAGCCGAGGACCGCGGAAGGTTTCTCTTTCCCCCTTTGTCCTCACATGGGTGTCGCTGAGACACCCAAACTTGGGACGCGGACTTGGCTAAGAGCAGAGTAAACTCGAACGGGGCGGAGACAGAAAAGCCCCCTTCGCTGGGTTACGGAGCATGAGCGGAGGAGGAAGCCCGGCCGCAGGGCCGGGAAGGGGCGCGCTCGGGATGTGGGAGACACGTACCCCGAAGTAGGCCTTGTCTCCGTCAGTCCAGAGTACGGCCAGGTCGGCATCCTCCAGCTGCCCGCGGTCCGACATGCCGAACAGGACGCCGGCCTTGAGCTCCCGCACCAGCAGCTGGAAATGGACCAGCTCCCGCGTGTAGCTGACGTTCCAGGACAGCTCCAGGGTGCCCTCGGGGTCCAGGGGGATGCGGTAGGGGAAGGGGCTCTCGGGGGGCGCCGAGCCCTGCAGGGCGGCCACCAGGATGACCAGGAAGACGGCCACCGCGGTGCCGTACATGGAGGCGGCCTCACGGGCGCTGGGGCTGGGGACTTGCATGGCTGGGCGGGCTCGGTCGCCGCACCTGGCCATTTATGTCCTGGGCCCCGGGGCGGTGGGTGCAGGCTGCACCGGTAATCACATTTGTCTGGCGGGAATCGAATTGTCCTGGTGACCCTCCCGCCAGCCTGCGCCCCGGGCCAAACGCTTTGCCGCCCCTGCTCTCCTAATTGGCACTAATGACACATGGACATCGTCAGCGGGAATTGAAGCGGACTGGCTGAGTTTGGCCCCTCCGAGTGGTCCGGGACAGCTGTCTGGGAAACGGCTCTCGGACGCCCTCCGGCTGGGCACCGGGCTGACTGCCAGCGAGGCTGTCCGGCCCTGTCCCCCTGCAGCGGACGGGATGGGCCTCATGCTGACCTGTCTGTGAATGGGCACACTGAGACCCCAAGGTCATCGCCAAGGTGATAAGTGAGTCGTGAAACCATGCCGCTGGGGGCCTGGCCCGGTGGGCCGTCCCTGCGATGCTGGAGGGTGGGCCAATCCCAAACTAAAAATAAAAGACGATCCCCAAATAGTCCTGGTGTTTAGACACTCTCTCCATGGCCTGCTGTTCCCACTTCGTCTCCTCTCTGTTTCCCCACGGGCTCCAGCTGGCGCCACGGCTGCTCCAGAAGCAGTGAGGACGCGGCCGGGGGGCGGGGGTGGACGGTGCCGGGCGCGGTGCGGGGGGAGCGCTGCGGACCGGGCACGGCCTCGCTCGGGGCCACAGTGCAGGGCAGCTTGCTGGTGGGGGGGCAGACTCGCAGAGAGGGGTGCGAGTGACCGGCCTGCTTTCCCGTCCCCGAAGCTCCCAGAGCCCTGGCATCCTCTAGCTGGCAGCGGACCCGGCCTGCGTTCGAGCCCTCCCGGGCCAGCTGGCCCACGCGGCGCTTCTCCACACGCCACGGGGCCTGTCCAAGGTCTCACAGCCCCGAGAGCCTCACGTGCCGGTCTCACGCACCCCAGCTCACTCCCATATTCTCTGCACAGAGTGGACGCAACATGCGCCGCCGCTTCCAGGACGGTCTCCGTGATTGCCCCCTGCTCGGAACTCAGCCCCTCCCCTCAGACGCCTGACTCCCGACCTCCCTCCCTCCCACCTTCCCTCCCTCCCTCCTTTTCCTTCCTTCTTCCTCCTCCTGTTCCTTCTCTCTTTGGAGAAACCAGAACCCAACCTTAGGAACACACTGGGGCCTGTGTCCCTGGCTGGTGCCTGTGTCCCCGGCTGGTGCCCAGCTTCAAGTCTTCAAATATTCGCAAAGACGGGCCTTGAGCAGGCTGCGCTGGGCTCTGGTTTTGCTCTGAACTCTGTTCCTTAGGGAGAAATGACTGTGTGTCTTTGCATGACGATGAAATTTGGAGAAAGCTCTAGCCCTCCCTGGGCCCTGGTGGGTGGTGCTGTCTGCTGCCCAGAGGTCGGACAGTTCTGCAAAGCCAAATGAGGCAGAGGAAAGAGAGGCCCAAAAAAAGGCCACGGGGACCCCCCACTTCTCAGCTGCACGGAGAGGGGGCGTTCACCCCAACCCACAGGCCAGGCAGGTGAGAGCTAAGTGCATAAGCCACTGGGTTGCAGGGCACGTCACAGGCATGGAACCGACTCCAGAGCAGCCGTGGTCACGGGCAGGGGCCGTGTGCCCCGTGCATCGCTGGCCGCATTCCCGGCACGGTGACGCAGAGCTGGCGGGAGACTGTGAGGGACCGGACGGAGGGAGCGGGGGAGCAGCCCTACGGGCACCGTCCCGGGCCTGGGAGAGCTGTGGAGAGACCGTGGGCCACAGAAGCAGGCCCTGGGGGCCACAGAGGTCACAGGCCCTGAGCACTGGTGAGAACCCCCGGGGCAGCCCGGGAGACGGGAGGGGCTCGGGTGGGGCTCGAATGGAAGGCTCTGATGGTTGGGGGCACCAAGGGGGTCCCAAAGTCAGCCAGCCCAGGCCAGGGGACACCCGAGACCAGGCTCCGAGGGCCTCACCTGGGGACAGGCCGCCCTCGTGCTCCAAGCTGTTTCCGGAACCTCCTCCTGTGCCGTAGCGGGACCGGGACGCACCTGAGCATTCGCCCCGCAGGGTCGGGGGGCAGCCGTGAGAAGTGGGGAGGCCGGCTCCGAGAGAGCCTTCCAGGGGAGAAGCTTCCTCAGAGACAAGCGGAATGAGCATCGGCTGCCCCTCGGGCCTAGTGAGACCCCACGGCCCCCATCGCGCACCTTCCGAGGTGCCAGTGCTCTGGGTTCGAATCCTACTCATCTCATCCATCCGGGGTCCTCAGAGAAGCATCTGCTCCCTGCTCCCTCCAGAGCCACAGCGATTGGACCACGAAACAGTGTATCCCTCTGGCTCCCTCAGCCCAGCAGCCCTGGGGAGGGAGGGCAGCGAGGCCTGGAGCACGGGCGGGACTGGGGTTCGGAGGCCCGGGTGTGGTGTCGCCCCGACCACTGACCTCGGGCGCGGGGCATTGGCAATAGCTTAGGGCGACACGGAGGGCGGAGGGCGGGGGGTGAACCCAGCGGAGAGCTGCACACACACAGACACACACTGACACACACACACACAGACACACACACAAACACACACATTTAAAATTCCCAACACAGAGACACAGACACACACAGCCACACACACAGACACATGCAGACGCAGAGACACACACATAGTCACACAGACACAGACACACGCAGATACACACACAGACACAGACACACACAGAGACAGAATCACACACACAGACACACAGATACACACGCACACGCACACAATGCACACACACAGACACGCGCACACGCACACACGCACACGGTTGTTTTTAACAGGGCTCGAGACGTCCTCTGCTCCAGCTCGGAGCTGGGCTGGAGCGGGGCCTTCCTCTCGCCTCCAGCGAAACCGGCTCAGCCGATTTTAGGAATAATAATTACGGAGCGCTCGTAACTAACGGGAGGCAGGAAGCAGGGCCGCGCCCGGCCCCTCGCCCGTGGCTTCGTTTCCCCCGTGCCGGCCCGCGGTGCCCAGGTCCATGCCTGTCCCCAGTCGCAGCAAGATGACGCCTCAGAGAGGTCAAGCGAGGGGCCTGAGGCCGAGGGGCCGCTCGTCCAGGGTGAAGGGGGTACCGCTTCAGTCGGAGGTGGCCAAGGTCAGGGAGACGCCACCAGAGTCAGAAGGAAGGGACGCACGGGTGACAACTGCAATCAGGGAGAAAAGCCACAGAAAAGCCACCAGCTCGGCCGGGGTGGGGGAGGCTGCCAGTCCAGTCCATGGCTTCTGTGCGATATGCCGGTCTTTGCACTAATGGATTTTTAAAAAGTAGCAACCTGACCCCGTGGTACAGAAGCAGCGCCCAGACGGCCCCCTGCCCGGGCCATGTCTGGTGAGACAGCTGCCGGCCCCGGGTGCCCTCTGGACAACGGGGTGCTGAGCCGGCCCGCCCTCCTGTGTGTCCTCAGGCGGGGTGTCCTGGCCCCCTCCCCGCCAGCTCTGCTCCAGCCAGGGGTGGGGGTGGGCTGGGGTGGCACCGGGCGCGTCACCACTGCCCCAGAGATGAACACTGCTCGGCTCGGCGCCTGGCGCTGCTCCAGGGCGCTTCGAGGCCGGCCTCATTTGGAACCGGCCTCGGCGTTTTAATAAGCCCTTTGCTTGTCCGCATCTCTCCGGCGCTGTCATCCTTTGCACGCTGTAACCCCCATCGCCTCTGCCACGTGAGGCCAGCTCCGCCGGCTCCCAGCCCCCAGAGTGCGGCAGCCCGGTGGGTGACCCAAGCCAGGCGGCTCCCCGGCCGCCACGGGGCAGCTGCAGGCCGTGTCCCCTTGGCCCAGGGTGTTCCTTGCAAGAGGAAAAACCCAGCATTCAGCTGGTGGAAGCAGGAAAATGGGTTGTGAGGGCTGAGTGGGGGCTGCTGGGGGCTGGAGACCCACCTCTAGGGGTCCAGTGTCCTGGGGAGCTCAGGGAAGCTCCCTTATGTCCCTCCCTCGTCCTGAGCATGGTTGGTTGTGTCATGAAGGTTTAAGAAACGCACCCTCCCTGGTAACCTCCCCATCCAGAGCAGGCTACCCCCCAGGGATGAGGCTGCACCCACCCCGCCCCTGTGTCTGCGTATCAACGCAGGTGACCCTGACATTAAGAACAGGATGGCCGGGCCCAGGTCGCCACGGGGGTGACCACGGCATGTGGGCAGGGCACGCAGCGCCCGAGCACCCTGGGAGCCTCAGCTCCTGCCCTGGGCCCCCTTCCTGGCTGCAGAGCCAGAGCTCCCGCTGGCCGTGGCACGTCCCCCAGGGACGAGGGAAAGCTGACCCCAGCAGGGGCCGGCTTCGTGGGTTCAGGAGCGACAGTCCCGTGGGAGGATCCCTCAGCAGACTCACGGCCCACGGCAGGGTGCCGGAGCACCCAGTCCGCTCCCGGGCACGGCCAGGCCACCCCTGCAAGACACGGCAGCCTGGCTGCGAGGCCTCAACGGTCAGGGACCATTTCATAGACGAGGACCCCGAGGCCGGAGACACTGAGCCACGGGCAGGGCCACGGGCAGTGGGCGGGAAGTCTGCAGGGGTGTGGCCCCGGCATCCGCCAAGCCCGGGGAACGGGAACGGGACAGGACGGGCCTCCGGAGCCTCCGGGGCAGCTCCGCGCAGGCCCTGCCCGCCTGCAGGGCGGCCTTGGAGCACGCGAGCCGCGAGCGGGGCTCAGCTCAGCTTCCTGGCCCAGCCGCGACTCAGATGACCAGCCCTCAGACCCTGCTCAGAGCTCAGGGCCCCCACCGCCCCATGTCCCTGAAGCGTGGGGCTGCCACGCCTGAAGGGACACTGACAACCGCCGCCAGCCACTGCCGAGCACCAGGGACCAAGCTGATGCCACCCGGTCCAGGACACTGTGAGTTGTCTCCACTCCTTAAATCTCAGTCAAAAGAGGTGACATGGTCCTCAAGGTCGGAGTGACCCCCAGCTCAACCCATCCCCGTGCCCGCTTTGGGGCCTGGTGGCTTTGGAGCGCAGCCCCAGGAGGGGCTCTGAGGCCGTTCCTGGGCGGCCAGCTCGG